TCTCGAAACCGGTCACCGGGTCAAGGACCTCAGTAAACGTAAAACTAGGAAGAATGTTCAAAATAAATAAAAAGTAAGAGTAAAGGACAGGGAACACAAAAATTAATGGGACATGGGGCCGCACATCCCGCTGGGCCGCACATGGTTGGGCCTACGTTAATACCCCGCGTGCGCCGCTCGCCCGAGCGAGGACCTATAATTCCTCCCGCGTGCGCGTTATCAACCGGACGAGGCCGCACCGGCGTGGCTTGCAAAAAGCACGCCAAATACCTTAGTAAGGGTATTTGGCACGACACCGGCGGCGGACATCCCAGGCACACTCCGAGCAGGTGGACCACTCGCTACAAAACACGCTAGATTTTTTATTTTTTTTCCTTTTTTTCTAACTTGAACGCGCCAGATTTTCGAGAGCTGTACCACTACGCTACGGGACAACGCCAGGCTGGTCTGGCCGCCGGGACAAGAGGTCCACTCTCGAAAAACGAGCCAGTCAGCCAGCAACTCGCAAGCACACTTGCAGATTCGTTTTTGCAGGCGGGCGACTCAACGTCTCGAGAGTGGCCTTATAGCATGCCTTCTCACAGCTCTCGATCGATCAGGTTTCAAGAGTTTCCCGATCGAGAGGAAGTGCACCGACGACCCACTCTCAAAACTTCGAGAGTCTAGAGTAGAAATAAATAAATAAAAATAAAATAGTAGTGCATCGAGACCCATAATCCTCAGTGAGGGGGAGCCGGGGCCAAGTGTGCTTCATGATTATTTTTTCGTACCTAAGTCGCGTTCAGGACACCTGTCTATTCTGTACGGTGTGCTTCTTCCTCCTAATTCTTCTTCTTCCTCGTATCTATCTTCTTCTTCTGTGTGTATTTGAGGAATAAGATTACGGTCATCTTTAGGCGTCCCTGTACGCGGGACGGACAAGTCCCACTAGCAGCGTTGAGTTTCCTCTACACCTGAATCTGGGCATGTGTGAGGAGATGCGCGGAAATGGCGTTGAGTTTCCTCAACCGCACATCCCCACAAACACGTCCAGATTCAGGCGTTAGGAAACTCGACGCTGCTACGTTCTTCCCCCGAACACAGCGCACCCTGATTCTGACTGTATCTGGCCGGAAACAGACCTTGTATACGTTCCTTTTCAGGGTGCATTATGTTCGAGGGAAAACGGTAGTGGGACTTGGCCCCCGGGGGTTCTCCCCACATCTGGCTACAGTCTTCCCCCGAATACAACGTAAAGTCATTACAGCTGAATTTGGGGTATCTTTCAGTCTAAATTCAGCTATAATGACCGTACGTCGTATTCAGGGGAAGGCTGTAGATATTACAGTGAAGTGCAGATGTTAGGACACCGACGAGATTCTATATTTGTTCTGCCAGCTGTGGTTGCTAGGTTCTTCAATGATTAACTTTTGCCCTATTCTCAATAATAATAATAATAATAATAATAATAATAATAATAATAATAATAATTTTTGCCATATTGCTGTCGTTCGGGAGAGACTTTGGATCAATGTGTGCATGGGCCCCGCTCCACTACTTTCAATATATGCAAAAGGAGAATGAATCTTCCGCTAGAACATGGAAAGATACACCGCCGTGATTTTTGTCTTTTGTGCATGTGGAGAGCAGTGGAGCGAGGAACCAACCGTCTTCCTTATCCTCTTCGTCTTTCACCTTGGCTCAGCTTACCTAAGGCCCCCTCCTTCCAAAGGAACCAACCGTCTTCCTTATCCTCTTCGTCTTTCACCTTGGCTCAGCTTACCTAAGGCCCCCTCCTTCCAAAAGAATAAAAATACCCCCCCCCCCCCCCCCCCCCCCCCCCCCCC